TCCATATATATATATATATATATATATATATATATATATATATATGCACAACTGTGAGAAGTTTCCTAGAATGTATGTTATTTGAGTAGACCCTACTAGAATATCTCTTGTTATGTTTTGTCCTAAATGCTGAGAACCCCTGAAGCTGATTTCAGGCATAGTTATTCACTTTTAAAATAGCTTCAATTAGATGACAATATTATAAATTTGGATAAAACTGAGTCAGCCAAGCCAGTTTTTGCTGCATCTCAATTTCTCATGGCTCTTGTTAAGTAGTGTACTGAGAATTAAGAATATTTTGCATTTTGTTTTCATCTGTAGATTGAACAAAGAGGGAAATAAAAGGTTACATATATGGTCGAACATACTGAGAGGCCACTGGTGTTATTTCTTGGGAAACCAAACTTCACAGCACTCCACTTTACCCTCCTCAACTCAGTCATGTGTTGTCACACTTCACATTGTCTCATAGCTTAGTGGCTCACACGTACCTGCTTCCACTACTGTGTAATTACCGATAGAATTTTCTCTTACTTTTAGTTTAAAGATTTTGCAAAGGTTAGCAAACAAGTTCTTATCATTTTCTTTCATTTTTTCTATTACTTCATTAAATTACCATACTTTCATACAACCATTATTTTTTCTTCCTCATGAATTATCAAAAATGCATCCCCCTTGATTCTCACTATTTTGTTTTGATTTTTTTTGAAACATAGTTTCCCTACATATTATCTTCTGACTTAGAATTCACCATTTACCCAGAATGACATCAAACTCACAATAAACCTCCTTCTTCAGCCCCAAAATTCTGAGGGTATAGACTTCAGCCACTGTGCATGCATGACTAACAATATATGTTTATGATAAACAATAAACACTAAACCTGTTCTTTGTACATTTTTCATGTGGAAACTGAGCCTGCATATACCCCCAAAATCTACATTTTTTTCTCCCAGAAAGTACAATTCAGTACTACACATTGCCCTTCTTTATACCCCAGTTAGTTTCCTTTAGGAAAAATGAACATGTTGTGAAATAATTATTTTCTCACAATGCTAATACTAATATTAATCTTTAATTTATTATTGGTACCATGCATCCAACAGAATTTTGTTGACACAAAGGTAGCAAGCAATAATTTGCCTACCATATTAACACTATTTTTTAATTAGTTGTTAAAACTCAGTCTCCTCTCTGGTTAATTTTATTTTCTTCTTCACTTCATTGGCAATTACAAGTCTTTTAGAAAATGTGAATGGTTCATAATTGCCTTTAACTTTGAAAAATACACCAGTTTCCAGTAATATCGTTTACAAAGTAAACCATTGTATGGTAGCAAGTACAATTTATGCTGTATAAAAACTATATTCTCAGACATATTCAAGTCTACAATATTCCATTAACTACTCTAGGCCTTGGGGGCTGCTCTAGGAATAAAAGCATGTGGAAAGGTGGCCTTTAGCCTGACAGGGATATCTGCATATCCTTCCATTCTGGGATTCTGCTCAAGTCAATAGAGATGTTCTTTGATTCCAAATCTCACTTCCCTCTCCTTTTTCTTGCATCTTGCCCTTCAACCCTTGTGGTATCCTTTTAACATTTCATAGTAGCTCTACTTCTACCAATTTTTGCATTTTAGATAAATTTGTTAGTACTATTCTCTTAAAGGATAATCAATTTGTTACATAAGTATTTATAAGAATTATACAAAGAGCCGGGCGTTGGAGGCACATGCCTTTAATCCCAGCACTCGGAAGGCAGAGGCAGGCAGATCGCTGTGAGTTCGAGGCCAGCCTGGTCTCCAGGGCGAGTGCCAGGATAGGCACCAAAGCTACACAGAGAAACCCTGTCTCGAAAAACCAAAAAAAAAAAAAAAAAAAAAGAATTATACAAGGAAATTATTTAAAGCCCTTTTACAAGGAAATTCCAGTATTACAACAGCAATAAATATGATAGGCATAGGTGTAAATGTTCCAGGCACATATATGCACATGTGCAGATACACATTGAAACACACAAATACCCATATGGGACCCACACATAAAATGTGTGCATACGCATACATACACTCACACACACACACACACACACACACACACACACACACACACACACAAATTGAATAATAATTGAAGATAGACTCAAACCACAATTAACATAAAAGATATTTTTAACCTTTTGAAGAACTGTAATACATTTGAACTGTTTCATGAAGAATTACAGGAAACAGAATAACTGTAATTACTCCAAGTCGTGTTGGAGTATAACACAAAGATTCCATCAATGTGACAGATATTTTTTGTGTTTCTGTATGTATTAATGGTCATGATAAAAAAGGACATCTGTGCATCTGTGTAGATGATAGCAGGAATCATAAAACAATGCAAACCAAAATAAAAACAAAAAAAAGTTCCTATACATGATCTCCAGAATCATGTAAAGTGGGGGATGCCTACAGAACAGATATAGATTACAGACTTTCAATGAAGAGAGGGGATCATAATGACAACATAGTTGAGAAACCATTTCATGGGATGAGTTTTATGAAATACAGTTTATATGTCATTAGATTCCAACACAGAAAATGCTTCTGTCGGTGAGGTGTCATTGGAAAAATAAGCATGGAGTAGCAGAGAATTTACAATGGGGTTTTCTCTGGTTAAGAACCAGTTTCCTCATAAACATCAGTGTTTGACCTGAGTTTCCCCACAGCTTACTCCTTCTCCTGTCCTTTTAGAGTTCCCATCTTACTGCATCCTCACCAGTTTGTTACCTATGGTGCACACCCATTAATTTTCCTCCCCTTTGTCCTAGAAATTCTTCCTTACAAATAATCTCATCATCACTCATGAGTTCTTACCTCATGTTTGACAGTTCTTACCTCAATGTTTGAAAAGGATGGCGAGTTATCCAAGTAATCAATAATCAATCTTCCCTCTATGGACGCTATGTCAGATTTCTTTCCTTGGGATTGAGAATGTTTCTCTATAGAATAAGGCAGCTAATGTTTTGTCTATGTTTTCTGCTGTTATTTCACATTGCTTTTCCATGAGACATATATTGATAAAAAATATTCAATAAAAATGTGAACCCTCTATACAACATGACCACATCTCCTCATGCAGAGAAAGCAGGCACGTGAACACTTTAGAGACTGATGTGTATTTCATGATACATATTCATGCTTCTTAGTAAGCATTAGATAATGACAATCTACTATCTGACTGTGACCTACATTTGATCCGTGTTCATAGCCTTTGTCTTAAAGGATCACACCAAGTCCTGATGGACTGGCTATTCTTATATAAGCAATCCAAAGTACTATAGTTGGTATATACAGTGCTGACTGAGCAGGGATGTAACTGATCTCTTGCTGCTGTTAGAATGAACTAAGGAAGTAGTGATAGGAGGATTTCAAAACCACATGAAAAGGGATTTTTATGGAGGTAGAGGACATAAAGAGATGAAAAAGAGGAGAGTAATACGATGCTTGTGTGAGGTTCAAATGAGAAGCATGTAAGGAACACTTAGTTCTAAATTCTGAACTGCAGGAGTCTTCATCACCTCCACAATATCTGTGGCATCATCTACTAAGAGTATTTTAAATGACAGAATGAAGATAAATGGCAACCCTGACCCATGCCTTCCCACCCCAGGAAAGAAACCACATTGTTGAATATCAAGAGCTGTCCACTGTCCATTTATTAAGCTCTTAGTCTCTGTTTTATACACGGAAAAGACTGCAGGAAGTCAGCATATGACATACTCCATCTTAACATCTTTTTGTAATCTGAGAAAAAGGGAGAGGAGAAAGGAGCAATGGACAAAGAGGAGGAGAGGGGAAAGGAGGAGAGCATCTCAGAGTAAAAGCCCAGTGGAGCTGTTTCCATTGACAACGGCTTCTTTTGCTCACATCTCACAGAGCTAAAAGGGAACACATGGCTTCTTGCTCTGTAAAATACAGGGGTATTTTAGCCATAGAAATATAGCCTTTTTAAAATATACTGAAGTATTTTGCCAGGCATATTTATGATAATGTAATTGAAATTCCTTCCTGTCTTACAATATTTAAAGATTCGTTTTTATTTGAATGTTTGTGTGAATGTATGTGTGTGGTTGTATATGTATGTTTGGTTGTGTGTGCATGGGTGTGTGTGTATGGGTATATGTGTGCATGGGTGTGTGCATGCATGTGTGTGTGTTTGTGTGTGAGTGTATGTATGTGGTTGTGTATGCATGTGAGTGTGTGTGTGTGTGTGTGTGTGTGTGTGTGTGTATGTGTGTATGTGCATGTGTGTGACTTCTGTGCACATGTTTGCAGAGGTTAGAAGAGGTCATTGTATCTCCTGGAGCAGGAGTCATAAGTGGGTATCAGTTACCTAACATGGATAGTTGAAATTGAACTCTGGTTCCTTGAAAGAGCAGCAAGCACCCTTAGCTGCCAAGGAATTTCTCCAGTCCCCTGTCTTAATATTGATGTCCCTGTAGGCACATTCAGCATTGATGACTAATTTAAATGTTAGAATCCAAATGAATCATAGATATAATATTTCTTTAATCTTTTTCTCCTTTTGACTTTATTACAGAGAAAGAATTTTTCTTTAGAATCCCGCTTATTAATAGCCAGTGGTAGAGAGAAGTTGCATGTGAGATGCAAATGACCCTGAATACTTGCCAGCTCTTGGGAACCCATCCAGAGGAGAAGATTTGCCTTTAGTTTTTAGTATGCATTGAATCGATAGAAATTTTTTAATGGGAATAATCCACAATGGGTTCTCTATCACCTTTCTTTGTTTGGTTTAAGTTGACCTACTTTAATTGTTTTATAGGAGGGTAGTTCCTGTTTGGTGAAGCATGAGGAGGGTCCCCAAAGAAACATCACTGCAGAATCAGAGCCCGCAACACAGGTATTCCCTTTTTAGTCTATTTGATTTTCATTATATCCAGAAAATTCTTCTGTTACCCACTGGATTGCAGGGAAATTTTTGCTTATTTTGTTTAACATTAATTTATTTTGTGAGTATGGGGAGGGATGCCATGGCTCTTATGTGGAGGTCAAAGATTAATGTAAGGGATTCTGTTTTCTCAATCCACCATGTGCTTTCCAGGCATAAAGCTTGGCAGTAAGCACATTTACTTGATAAGCCATTTTAAAAGATATGAAGACCTTATATATTGTCTAAAAGAATGTGCATTGTTCCTTCAGCCTGGACCTTTGAATTTTGCTTGTCTGCTGCCAGTAAATATTTTAGTGTGCCTACATAATGCCCTGCAAAGATAAAGGAGAGATCTCCTCCTCTCTCCCTCTATGCTGCCAACCAAGAAAGTAAAGGAAATTAAACAGAGAATTTTAAAAAGTCTGTAATTCTTGTAAGATGAAAATGGAGAAGGCAAAGTGGAGTAGGTGTAAAAAGTAGTCACCTTCCACAAAAATGAATAGCAAGTTTACCTGCAAAGTTTAATTCTAAAAATATTATATAATATCAATGTTACGGAATTTTTTAGAGTTAGATGAATTTTTGTTGAATGGTTTGACCAGTTTTCTCACAGTAGCTTTTGAGGAACTGTAGCAGTTGTTTTAAACATAGTATTTACATGTGGTAAAAGTCTGAATATTTATTTAGTTTGTGACTTTCCTTGTGGGCTAGATGCTATTTGTTTACACTGTTGGACTTTCACTGCTGTCCTACTACAATTTTATATTTTTACCTTAAATAGGCCTATTTTTAATTCTTCTAATTGTCTTTTCTGTATTGTGTGGCAGAAATTGCAAATGCCTCTTTGTTCTGAATGTGAGGAGAAAAAAGGCTCAGAGAAACAATCAGCCACTTTCGATGGGATTCCAGCTAGAGAAGAAAAAATACTGTAAACAGAAGACACAGAAGAGTCAAATACGTCTATTTCCTGCTGTCTAATGTTTCTAGAGTGCAGACTCGATGGGAACACCATGTTTCTAAAGCATGCAACTTTTTCAACCTTTTCTGTAACTTTATAATGTTGACCACCACACAATTTCCAAGATTCCAGACCAATTATAAATTTTAGCAATAATCTAATGAAAAGGTTTTCTTCACTTATACATATCTAATTGTCCTCCCTAAAATTACCCAGTATAAATTGATCTGTTTTGAGCTAAAAAGAAACCTTGACCTTTCTTGGTCTTTGTGTGGATATCTAGTACTTCAAAGGTCTAGTTGCTAACATCAACTGAAGGATGCTCAAATGTGAGTCCTCAGTGTTTTTAAAATCCAAATTGCATACATATGAAGGTTTTGGTCCACAGTGGCAATCTGGTGTCATTTTCTCCAAAGTTGGAATTTGCAGATGAGAATACATTATTTTAGATATTTATTGCTTGGCTCATTACATTGACTTAATAACTATTTGACATAAATTATGCCCAGCTATTTCTGTCAAATGAGTTAGTTTCTAGAATTCATTAGTTATATTTAATATGATATGCATACAGGGTTTTGATGAAACCATTAGCAGAGAAAGGAACACCACTTATAATAATTCTACACAAAGACCAGTTTCTAGAATTTATCCATATTGTCACTCTTTTTAAAAGCAAAAATATATAATTCTATAGGTGACTCATAAATTTTTAGATGAATTGAGCAAGATAGAATGTAAGACCAGGATACAAAATTTAACTCACCACATCCCCAGTTCCATCACCAACCCAGGTTCATAAAATACTAGATTTTCTTGATAGAATAATGGGCATATCATTTTCTATTTCTTTTCCTTTTTTGAAGCAAAATCTTGTATGTATCAAGTTAGACTCAAAATTACTACAAAGTAGAGGATGACCTTGAACTCTATATCCTTCTGCCTCCACTTCCCAAGTGCTGGGAGTTTCAGCCATTGACCACCACTGCAGTGATGACAAAAATGAATTCAGTTTTAATTTAGGATTGCTTTTCAGCTCCTGCCTAGGGCATTAATTTCCTGCCTCATCTCTGTGGGTCCTACAGAATGTTAGTCACATGCTCTTCCTAGCATGCAGGTTCTGAAATTTGTGACTCCTTGGAAGAATGACTGGATAAAGAGGTTCAAGTTCAAGCAACTTTATTTTCCAGTTTTATATTTCCTTTGCTTTGACTTCCTGTATTAGAATGTGATAATATAATCAATTTGCTTTCCTTAACTCTTGGAAGGATAAAATGGATTCAAATAAAATGGTAAAATTTCCTCCCAAAATTTATACAGTCATGTATATCCACAAGTTTTCTCTTGGTTGTCTGTCAATATTCATTCCTATATTTGAAAGGAACACCTTAAGACCAGATTTTTTTTCTAACAATTTTTAAGGAACATTATGAAGGTTCTTTTAATAGTTTGATAGGGTTTAGTATGATTTGTGGTTATTCTTTAATTAATGTGTTTCATCTCTCTTAGCCCTTTCCTTGCTTTGAGATTGGACCAGAGATGTCTAAATATTTTCCTTACCCATGTGGCTACTCTATCGAAGAGATGCCCATCTCCTACTCTTCTTAGCTATCAACTTTGTACTAAACATTGTTTTGAAATTATTTAAACACTGACCATACTCATATTGAAAAAAATGTTATCTAATATATTGACAATACATGGTGTGATTCTGCCATATACTTGCAAGGTTTTAATCACTGTTGAGGACACCCCTGTACCTCCTGATGGAATAACATATTTAATATGTCCTTCCACAACTAAGAACAATTTTCTCTATTTTATATTATAATATAATAATTCAATTTGAAATGTGAATCAACTGTAATGTATTCATTTGTAAATTAGAAAATTTTTTGAGCATTGTCTTTCTTTGTATGTACATAAACTATGTTGATTAAACTAGTGCCTAAGACCTGTGAGTCCTGAATGAGCACTGGCTGTGTCTATTGAATAGGATGTGCCCAGAAGAGCACGGTGTTAGTCATTGGTCTAGATAAAGATTTCTTCACAATTTCAGGTATCTGAATGCTGATAATACCAGTGGTTGGCTTTTTTTCCTGTCTTTGAATAGCTAATTAGCATAGCATTGCTGCTTCCCTCACAATTCTGTCTCCTAAAATACACTGAATTACAAGCTCAATGCAGTTTTATTTTTTGTTTTGTTTTTTTGGAGCAGACATTGGCTGTTTTAGATGGACAAGGTGTATAGCTGGACTGAAATGAAATCTGTGAATTTGCTACAAGGGAATCTTTTATTTTTATAGCTTAGGTAATGTAATTAGCACTAACTGCAGCAGAGGTGGGAATAATAATTGAAGCTACAGAGTGAGGAGAGCTGGCAGAGTGATAAGCATGATGCTGGTTGACATAGGGGGCTGTACTGTAAGAAGATCTACATCCCCGAGGTACACATTCAGCTGGATTGTGTCACATAATATTAATGATCAAGTATTGCAAAATAAAAAGTGTTGAAAAGTGGCCTATTTTCTTCAATAAAAAAATTTGTTACAAAGCTCATATTGCATTTTACCTTATACAAACTTAGTGGAACAATAAACACTGGCCTGCCTCTGCCTAAAAGACCCCAAAGACGACTTTGAAACATCATACTGAAAGTTTCTTTCATTTCTTTGATGATTCCCCGGAGGTATTTTGCATTATTTGGAACATTTAAAAAGTTGTATTCATGATGTTGGGACTTAGACTTTCAAAAGTACTATTAATATCTATTACTGTTGTTTACATTTAATTGACAGTTACTACATATGGTAAATGAGGACAATTTGGTGCTTGATGCAGCCATCCAATGAGGAATGATTACTAAAAGCTTCATAGAGAATACTAATGTATTTTGTAAGAATTAACTCTAAAGCCTAAAGTAGTGGGAATGATCAACAGAAAAAGTGCAATGAGAGAAAAACACATCTCATGTTTGGGTGTCTCTTTTCTTTATTCTGCTACTCTCTGGAATATCAATTTGTGGCCTCTATGTGTAGCTTTAGTCAGAGTGGCTGTAGTATAGCCTGCAGGTGAATGTGGTAAGGATATGATGATACATCATTTAGTGATGGGGATAGCTTCTGAGACATGCATTGTCCTGGATAGTTTTATGTCAATTTCACCTAAGCTGGAGTCACTGGAGAAGAGGGAGCTTCAACTGAGAACATCTCCATAAGCCCTGGGCTGCAGGGCATTTTCTGAATTAGTGATTGTGGTTGGTGCCATTCCTGAGATGGTGATCCTGGGGTCTATAAGAAAGCAGGCTATATGGACAAAGGGGTTAAGACAATGATGGGGAAACCCACAGAATCAGCTGGCCTGAGCTAGTGAGAGATCATTGACCCAGGTGGGACATATGGGGAACCTGCATAAGACCTAACTAGATTCCCTTAATATAGGTGACAATGGTATAACTGGGACAATATATGAGGCCACTGGCAGTGGGTCCAAAATCTAAGTCTAATGCACAAACTGCCTTAGTGGAGCCCATTTTATATGGAGAGATACCTTGCCCAGCCTAGACACAGGGGTGTGGGGGTGGAGAGGTACCTTGGTCCTACCTCAACAAGATGATGGGACAGAATTAGTAGACATCCTGGGGTAAGCCTTACCCTGTCTGTGGAGCAGATGGGAGGGGAAGTGGGGGAGCAAGAGGAGAGGTGGAAGGGGGAACTGGGATTGGAGAGTAAAAAATAATAAAAATAAAGATAAAAGATAGGCGTTGGTGGCTCACAGCTTTAATCTCATCACTCAGGAGGCAGAGGCAGGCAGATCTCTGTGAGTTCGAGGCCAGCCTGGTCTCCAGAGTGAGTGCCAGGATAGGCTCCAAAGCTACACAGAGAAACCCTGTCTCAAAAAAATAAAATAAAACAAAAAAAATAAAGATAAAAAATAAAAAACTAAAGCAGGTTGAGCAAGCCATGGGGAGCAAGCTAGTAAGCAGCACCCCTCTGTGATGTGTGCATTAGTTCCTGCATCCAGGTTCCTGCCCTGTTTGAGTTCCTGGCCTGACTTCATTTAGTGATGAACAACGTTTAAAAGCATAGTTCCAATAAACCCTTTCCTCCCCAAGTTGCTTTGTTCATGGTGTTTTATCACAACAATTGTAACCCTAAGTAAGATAGAAATTTGTACCAGGATCTTGAAGTATTTCTGTGACAGACTTGACCATGTTTTTGGTGGGAGGATTGTGGAAGGACTTTGGGACTTTGGGCTAGAAAAGCCACTGACTATTGAGAGCTCAGTGGGCTGTTCTGTATGGACTTAGACTGAGGACAAGTAGGGACAAGAGCAAAAGGGATCAGGTAGGGGTAGAGGGAGAAGATTAGGGGAGAGACAAGAGGAATGGAGGGGGCATTTGGGAGATGGTGTGGACATCTAGTTTAGTAGGAACTTCCTGGAATCTATTAGGGAGACCCTAATGAGGACTCCTAGTAATGGAGGATGCAAAGTCTGAGATGGCTATCTTTTTTGCCAGGCAAGGCTTCCAGTGGTGGGACTGGGTTGCATTCTGTTCAGGTGTTGGCCAAGGAGATTAGGTAGAGATCTCTAAACAACCTGGACTGATGCTAGGACACAATGATGTTCTCCAAAATCTGATATCAGGACCACATTGCCAAGGACAGCATCCACACAACTCATTTAATACAGAGAGGGCAAGCTAGTGCCTGCATGGAGCATAGGTTCTGGTCTCTTTGGTGTGGGAAGTTACTCTGCAAGCTACAAAAAGAGAAACCTAGACAACAACCCAGTCACAAAACCTTTGACCTACAATCTGCCCAGCCTACAAGATATTCTGAGGGCAATGGTGGTGAAAATTTGGGGAATGACCATCCAATGTCTGGTTGAACTAGAGGCCAACTCCAAAAGAGGAGGCCCATGCTCTGCACTAACAGGATGGCAAGGAATGAGAGACTGGATAGCCCAGAGTTCTAGATTAGAACCAAACATGATTGGCAAAATGAATGAATGAATGCAATTGTTCTTAATGATATTCTGCTATAGATTGTTGCCTTGTCCAGTTGTCATCAAAGAGGCATCTTCTGACAGCAGATGTGAGTAGGTGAGGAGACCCACAGCTGGACCTTATTTAGATATAGAATCTAAATTGCAAGTTTCCTTTGAGTCCCTACACTCAAAGATCACGGAACCCCACAGAAGAGCAGTAAGAGAGATTATAAGAGTTAGAAAGGATGGAGGATGACACCACAAGAACATGGCCCACTAAATCAACTAAGCAAGGTTCATATGAGCTCACATAAAAGCAGGAAGCACAAGGCCTACATGGGTCTGCATCAGGTCCT